TCAGGTCATGGTTTTGGGGGCCTGGAATTCCCCCTCCCCCCATTGGGCTTTGTGCTCCATGCAGGGTCTGCTTGAGGATCGTCCTTTCCCTCTCCCTCTGCCCCTTCCTCCTGCTTGTGTTCTCTCAATAAATCTTAAAAAAAAAAAAAAAGGTTTTCAAGGAATTTTCTTGCTCCCTTTAATTTTTACTAAACACAGAGTATCACATTCATACATCCTGTTCTCCCTGGCACCACTGGCAAAGGAAGACAGCAGTCTTTACAACCATTATCAGAGTCAGGAAGCAGGGCGATAGAGACAGCTATTAACTTAAAACCTCTCAGAGCTCAGGCAGATTCTACTTCCCTAACAGCCACCACTACGGCCACCACTATCCTGTCGGTGTTGCTATAAGGGACCCCATGTAGCCCTTCTAGATTCCGTCTATCAAAAGAAACAGGCTTTTAGTGGAGGCAGTGGCCTGGTGGTATGAGAAAGCTAAAGCTTAGTGCTGAGGAAACAGAAGTTTCTCTTCCACTTACTGGCTTTAGCACAGGAGAAGAATGGGAAAATCCCCAGGCCAGGAAGCTTCACTTTTATGGCATTTTTTCCCCCAGACTGTAAAGTCACTTTTGATTGAGGCAAAGGGGCCCTACTGTTACTGAAAAAGACACAGTCCTTTAGCACACGTTTTCACTGGTAGGATGGTGCTGCTGGACATGGTTTTTCCTTTTGTGTTAAGCTAGAAAACCCAGGGATGTTACCAGCATGGCTGAAGCTGCAGTCAGAGCCCTCAGGGCACATAACTGAACTTCATATATATCATAGGATCATCAGTCTGAATCCAGGTCATGGGGGCTGTCATAGCCAAACTCCTTATGCACATCCAAAGGGTATTTGCTCCACATCTGTGGTCTGCTGTTGCCTCTTTCCTCTTCGCTGAGGCTGTCGTATTCATCAGAGCCTAGAATGGTAACAGGAATGGGCTCTGAGTTTCTAGGTGACCATGATAATCGTTTCCCATCTAAGGAAGGTCTGTTTTTTTTTTGTTGTTGTTGTTCTCCCTTCTACGATACTTGCTCAGTAAAGACAATTTAGGGGGAAAAAAAGGGCAAGCCCATTTCTACTACCTAAGCCAAATCCCTCAACAACACGGGGAGTATTTTTTCATTTCTCCCCTAAGTATAGGATTTCTTTTTGTTATTATAGTTGTAGTCATACTGTAAACATAATTTCACGTCTGCCCCTATCCTTTTAACTTATCAGTACTTCCCCAATAGAATATTCACAGTTTAATTAACTGTCCCTCCATTAACAGACACCAAGAAATTCTTTTTGTTGGCACAAAGAACATAGTCCCTGAAGGATCCGTGTCACCAGAGTATCTTCCTCTTTCCCCCAGGTACCATGTCTGTGTTGCATCTTTCTCAAAATGTAAACAAAACAACTTCTTGAGAAGTTAGATAACTGATCTGTCAAAATCCTAGCCCTGCTCCAACTGGCAAACCTCTCCAATACCTTTTTTTTTTTTTTTTTAAGATTTTTATTTATTTATCAGAGAGAGAGAGGCAGGCAGAGGGAGAAGCAGGCTCCTTGCTCAGCAAGGAGCCCGATGTGGGACTCGATCCCAGGACCCTGGGATGACCGGAGCTGAAGGCAGACGCTTAACCGACTAAGCCACCCAGGCGTCCCTCAATACCTTCTTGACTGAAGCAAGAGAAGAGACACTGAGCTGTTTCCCTTAATCCCAACCACTGAAGTTAGTGCACTATTCTCTTGTTTTCTGGAGAGAGGATGAGGCTCCATGAGGTGAAGTAACTTCCCCAAGACCTACAGATAGGCAATGACAGAACTAAGGATTTGAGGGGCGCCTGGGTGGCTCAGTCGTTAAGTGTCTGCCTTCGGCTCAGGTCATGATCCCAGGGTCCTGGGATTGAGCCCCGCATCGGGCTCCCTGCTTGGCAGGAAGCCTGCTTCTCCCTCTCCCACTCCCCCTGCTTGTGTTCCTGCTCTCGCTGTGTCTGTCTCTATCAAATAAATAAATAAAATCTTTAAAAAAAAAAACTCTTTAAAAAAAGAAAAAAAGAACTAAGGATTTGAACCTAGGCTTCCCCCAGAAACACTAGTTCTTGGGGCTCCTATAGCTCTAATAGGTTGTGGTTGAGCTGTTGGGAGTTCAATGGCAGAGAAGGAAAGCCAGTTAAGATGTACTTGTTAACCATGCTCACACCTCAGTCTTGGATCCCACTAGTCCCTTCCCATCCAAGGCCGCCACCCATGTACCTCTGGACTCATCTCCATCAGTGTTCTCCTCCTCTGGATACTCATTGCGCCAGTTATTCTCACTATTCTCATCATCATCATCTTCATAAATATCTTCTGGTTGCTGGTCATCATTCACCTGCACATCTCAACACAAACATGAGTATAAGTCAAAACCTCTAAGGTTGTGCTGTGGGGGAAGCTATTAGCAGACCAACTTGGAAAAATCACTTAAGAGCACTGTGTGGAAAAGAGGCAGCCTAGGAGCTGGTCTGAGTATGCTGCACAAAGGGCTGTAGTGACCTTGGGCTACAAGGTAGAGACAGCAGCCCTACTCCTCACTCAGTCTAGCTCCAGCCATCACATTCCTTGTGGGATAGGATGAACTCCAGAAGGGAACACACCAGGGTGGGGAGGAGAGAGACCTCTGAGTTAGTGTTGGCAGTGATCTTTAAACTTTTGGACAGCCAGGTGGGAGAGAGATTATATGGATTACGGGTGATGCCGAAAACCAGAACCAAAATCTAAGTGTGAGGGGCGCAGGGAGAGGGACTATGCAATGATCCAAGGTGGGTGCCTGACTGTGAGACAATGGTTGCAATGCAGGTATGGGATAAGGTGCCGCTCCTCACTTTAGAATTTGTTTTAAGAATAATGATGTCATGGGGTGCTTGGCTGGCTCAGTCAATAGAGCTGCAACTCTTGATCTCAGGGTTATGAGTTCAAGCCCCACACTGGGTGTAGAGATTGCTTTAAAAAAAAAAAATGTCAGGATGTTAGCTTTCTTAATCCAAGGTCTCCCCCCTTTTAAGATCCAGTTAAAAAAAAAAAAAAGCTTTTACTCCTATTCATGTTAAGAATTTCTGGTTTAGGGCGCCTGGGTGGCTCAGTTGGTTAAGCAACTGCCTTCGGCTCAGGTCATGATCCTGGAGTCCCGGGATCGAGTCCCACATTGGGCTCCCAGCTCGGCAGGGAGTCTGCTTCTCCCTCTGACCCTCCCCCCTCTCATATGCTCTCTCTCTCAAATAAATAAATAAATAAATCTTAAAAAAAAAAAAAAAGGAATTTCTGGTTTATTTTGTCTTTATTATAAGCCCCTATATGTTTCCCCCTGAAAGTGGATGTTAATAAATGATAAAAATGATGTCGCAAACCTTGTAAAAGATCTATTAAGAGCAAAAATTATCAGTGTACCTGTCATTCCCAAAATTCCCTGCACTAAACCCAGGTTCCTAGAAGGCATTTAGAATAAATTTTTCCATTTAAACAAGGACAAGAAGAGCTAAGAACAATCTTGAACCCATTGGAGGCAATGTGGAACACAGGGAAGCAAAGCACCCAGACTAGAGAACTGCTTAGGCTACCTCATACCCTTCTCATCCTCATGGGTCCCCTTACCAGCTCCCACTCCTGGCAATAGGGCTGCACAGAGAGGATGTTCTCAATCCACCCTGGAGTGGCCATCTCCAAGTAGTAAATGTCATATACATAGTCATCCTTCTGCTCCTCCTGGTGCCCGATTCTCGGTCCATCCTCAGATAGAGTCAGCCGTTCACGGATCAACTCTACGGAATTGCAGAGGATCACATCTGGGTCAGATGTCTGTAAAGAAATCAAGAGATGATACATACATGATCCAAAACATGGATGTTCCAAAAGGAGAAATTTAAGATTTGAGTGAAGGAAGTCTCTATAGTTGTCTATGTTAGATTCAAG